CTACTTGCGGAAGACTTTAGGCTTCCTATAAATGGGTCTTTGAATGCAGCTATTTATGCTATACAATACAAATTTGTCAAGTCACAAGGTCATTGTTGCGTTTGAGGCTGTTTTATTTCCTATTATTTAAAATTAAATGTTTCTGCTTTTCTTCCCAGTATATGGACATTCTATTTCGCCGGTAGTCCGTCTACTAATCACTTGATTACCATCGATACCGGAAGCGGTGCGCTCTAATCTCTTGTTTCCCCTTTCAGATGAGGTTGCCAAAAATGGCGCTGTGTCCGGAGAAGATGATGAAAGTCTTGGATTGCTCAGTCGTGAGTTATAAGTGACCATTTTCTGGCTCTACTTTGGTTCCCCCCAACTCCGCGTAATGTCGCTTTTACTTGTAGTCGGTGATATGGATAACGCAGACTCCGAATTTCTGATGTCCCAGTGAGGAGAAATCGCAGCATCAGAGTTCATTATACAATTCAGCATTTTTCTTTTGTATTTCAAGTAAAAATGAATGTTGCCCATGTTTTCCGAGTTTTTTTTATAAAAATATCTTGTTGGATTAAAATCGTCTGTGTAGAAACAGGGCTCTGTAGTCTAATATTATTGGTACGACTGAGTGTAATCTATCAACATTATCTCGCGGTCAGCGATAGCATAATCAGAGAGTCCTGTCTGCATAATATAGATTGCCTTCGGTTACTTCCAACTCCAGTTGACAAAATTAACATTCAGAAGTAGTTTATTGCATTACCTTTTTGTTTCGCTATTCCTCTTCTTAAAGAAATGTTGGCGGTTGGCTCGTCGATGAGGAGTCTGTGATAGAACAAGCTTCAGTCGGCATCGACACGGCTAACCAACTTTTAAGCATGCGAAATTTCATCTGTCTACCTTCTGCTGGCATCAACCAATTTAGGTAATGTGACTGGTACGTAGTGAAAGCATTCATCGAAGAGAATATCTCTGTAATAAGGAATGGAATCCTCATGTATCTACATCCATAGGTAGTTTAACTCTGAAGGGGGTTAAGCATCTTTTCACCGTGAATGCACTTCCAATCTAAACATTATCAGACTATTTTGTCGGCCAATTGGGTTTAAGTTAGCGCAAATGGCAAGTGTGATTACCTTGTCCAATGGGCTCAATTTTAAGAGAGGGAGTAATGGAGTGAAATGAAGTACTGACGACAAGCAGTGAGTGCTGTTTTATTCATTCAATTTATTGTTTAATTTTGCTTCATTTACTTAAAAATGACATGGGATCAATTAATTGGGGGAGATATTTAAAAAGATGTCTTTGAGTATTTGAAAAAGTACCAAGAACAGAATAATATTCACAAAGCATTTTAAAATTATTTAATATGTCTGGATTTATTAAATGGTGAGGTGAATGAATCCTAATATTTTTAAAGTTAATCTAAACGATACGGATTTTACCATTATTGCATTCTTTAATTAATTACCTACTGTTAATAGACATTGAAAATCGTTGTCTAACTTTAAATATGAGCTAGCAATGAATAATGCCATTATCATCAACAAGCGACATTTTTTCAAGAAAGTTCAAAATATGAGTTGAATGGTGATGAATCGAAATGGAAGTATCATCGATTTGTATCAAATAGCAGGCTTTTTGATAGCTATCATTCGCTCTTTAATTGACCTCGGGCTTCATAGAGGAGAGGAACAAAGTCGCAAAAAGTCGAGGGGGGAAGGCCCACAAAAGTTGGAGAAAAAGGTAAAAGTGAGTATTGTGGAAGTGGTCAAATATGACGCACAGTGGGTCATGGTTATTTGAAGTCAGAAATCAGCTGCTGGTTTATAGACTTCCTTGTCGTATGAGTATATGTTGCCCAGGGTGCGCCACGTGGGGGTAAGTCTATCCCGTATCCCATGAAGGTATCTTTAGTTGTCTTGTGTGATCCAATGATTAATTGACAATTTACTGCTTCACGTTTTTCGATTTAAATTTCTTGATTTGTCACAGGGTTTGTGGATCGATTTCGCATTAAATATCTTCAGTACCTATTTTATTGTGATGGTCGGTCCTGACATTTCAATTCACTTCCCCGAAGGCGATTTACATGATGTCATTAAGCAACTTTATCAGGCTCAAACAGGGTGGGACTGGAGGGAGGGGGGGGAGAGTGCGGTGGATTCGGAAAATTATGGGGACAATTCCTTCGTCCGACACAAATTTATCAATGAAACCTTGCACAAATTGAGTTCTGTGCTATTTCATCACTATTAATGTGATGCTGATATAAAGCAGTACACCAGGAGGCTATCTTGTCAGATAGGGGGTGTGCGATAGAATTACCTCCACGTGGTGTACCCTGGGCAATGTATACTCTTACGGCAAAAAGTCTATTATTCGGAAGTTGACTTCTGACTTCAAACTACCATGACCTCACTGTATGTCATAGCCGTGCACTTCTACAGTATTCACCTTGCCCTACTCTCTATCATTGTGTCTGGCTCGACCACTTCTACAGTATTCACCTTGCCCTACTCTCTATCATTGTGTCTGGCTTTTATACATCTACAAATCACTCTTCGGTCCACCCTCTTGAACTTTGATGTTTCTCTCCTCTGTGAAGTTCGAAGTCAGCTAAGGGCTAACGATAACTATCAAAATGCCTGCCATTCGAAATATAATCTTGTCAGATAGAACCAAATCTCTCCATCCTTATTATAAGAAAATTTTAAAAAAATGTGAACCAGCTACCACTGATTGTTACCATTTTAACAATTTTATGCACACCCCACCTGTCTGCACTTATTTAAGCCTTCGCTAAACGAGATGTCTCTGCCTCAGGTACTTCAGTAAATAGTTAAAAGATACATGTCTTTTCATTCACTCATATCCACTGCAGCATTGTGCCAACTTGTTAGTTTGTGCATACTCTATTTTTGGGAATCGAAAGTCCACTCCTACCGCCCACGCTTCTCGCGTATTCCTCTCAAGTGAGATAAAATCACCGTTAAGTACATTTTAAGCAAATAGAGGCAAATTGCATGCCCAAAAGGGGTCTTATCTAGCGATTGTATTCCTGTGGGACGAGCATAAGAAGGAGTAATGGCGCTGTGACGGAGGCGTTAACGACTACAGGCCTCATCACATATAGGGTATTAACCAAATTTAACTCCCTTTTATTACTGAAGGGATACTGGATACAATTTATAGCCTCACACTTAAAATGGCTACAGTGTTGGTGACTCTATCGTCTATGGCGAGAACTTTCCAAATTTTGAATTGAAAAAGAAAAAAAATAATTCAGAAATTTGGGCGAAATAAATTAATTAGTCTCATTTCCAGCGAAATTGTCTGCGACGCTATTCTTTCGTGATTATTTTAGTTTCAAGCTATGATATTCGCACTTTGGCACAGCAATAAATGAGGCTCACTGAAGTAGGGTTATTAGACCACGGGGCAAAATTATGGCGCAAAAGAGGAAAAGACGGTTTTTTAGTACAATTCGATGAAATACCAATGAGGACATTTAATTCTTACTCAAAGTTTGGATTCACAATAGACTTACCTCTACGTTGTGCACCCCGGGCCAACGTGTACCCATAGGGAAAAATGTCTATAAACCGGCAGTTGACTTCTGACTTCAAACTACCATGACCCCACTGTATGTCATATTCGATCCCTTTCACAGTACTCACCTCACCTTTTTCTACCTTTGTGTCTGTCCCTTTTCCATCTGTGAACGACTCTTCTGTTCCTCCTCTCGACATTTTGTGACTTTGATGTTCCTCACCCCTGTGAAGCCCGAAGTCTAATAATGGACTAATGATAACTTGCCATTTGAAATATATAATTTTTACTCCAAATTAATATGTTATTTTCATTTACAATGAATTTATAATTTTAAGTTGTTTAATTAAGTTGACCGATGAACAATACCACAATTCAACTAACTTATAATTCGTACGTTTTCTCAATATGGCATTAAATGGATTAGAAATGTGAATTTTTATCTTCCATAGAAGGCTAATAGACAAATTTTAGAATTCAATTTGATCACATAAGAATCTTTAATGAAGACTTATTTTAGTAAAATGCTGTCACGAGAAGCATTGCAATGATTGAAAGCTTCAAAGTGGTGAAAATCGCTTCTATGTGTAAATTTTAAAATGAATTTCACCAAATTGTTTATCTTATTGCACTTTTTCTTCCACAATATATATATGCGGTTAAATTACTTAAATTAAAATAAAAACACGATGTGATCAAATTAACTTAATGTACGAAAGCTCAAACACAAGAAGATCGTAATGTTCATTAAAAAAAATCGCGTGAGATAACATCGATGGAGGTCTCCCATTTTTTTAATTAGAGAAAAAATTGCAATTTTAAATATTTAACCTCAGTTATTCTTTTAACCTTGGGGATTAAAGTACACCAGTTTTGAACATTTTTGAGTTTAACATTTCCGCTGTAATATGAGCGAAAATAACAACTTAAGTTGTTTTTCACTGTCAGATAAATTTTCATAAATTTTTGGTTGAGAAACTCCGCGGTCGTCAATGAATTACGATCAGAAATTTATACTCAAAGTTATTAAAAAATCAATTAAGGAGTCGAAGGGCTTACTAGAATATAAGTGACAGACACAGAGCAGGTCAAAAAGGGCATGAAATTTTGAACTTAGTGCAAATAGAACGACCATGATTTCAAGTACAACGCATTTGGCTAGAAATTGTCAAAAATTATTTAATCCACTGCATTGTCCTGTAACCAATTTAAGTAAAATTTTGTAACAAAGTTATAGGATTTGGAAACGATCGTGTTTGCACACAGTCCACGAATAAGTCTGCTGAAAGTTTATTTATATATTTGTATCAAATGACAGGCGTTTTGATGGTTATCATTAGCCCCTTAGTTGACTTGAGGCTTCACAGAGGGGAAGAAACATCAAAGTGAAAAAAATTCTAGAGTGGGGGGGGGGAAGAATAAGGTAGAAAAAAGGTGAGGTGAGAACTGTGGAAGTAGTCGAATATGACATACATTGGGGTTGTGGTAGTTTAAAGTCAGAAGTCAATTGTAAGCTTATTGACTTTTTGCCGTATGAGTATACGTTGCCCAGGGTGCACCACGTGGAGGTAAGTCTATCGCACACCCTAACCTGCTAAAAGTTAATACTCGTCATGCATACGTTGGTGGTGGTTCAACTTCACTCGGCTCCTTTCAATGAATCCGTTCTTTCGTATTAATAATAATAAAATAAAATATTCTATGCAAAACATTTTATCAATAAATCGTTTTTTTAATTCGCAATATATATTTTTTTCTTCTCTTATACTACGTATAACTTATGACTATTTGCTTATTCAGCTCCTCGAACAAATGACAGCGACAAGCAAAACCGCTGCTGTTTCTTTTGATTTTCGCTAAAAAGATTTTCAGGATACTGAAAATATTTCAATTCACTACTAG